TCTATGTAAGAATTCATCTTATTGTTTATAAAACTTTTGTTTAACGAAAACAAAAGAATAAAAGAAACTATTTAAATTGTAACCTGTCAATAAAGAAGAGTTTAATGAAGAAAACATATAAAGATTGTAAGTAACTTTCAATTTCATTCCTTTCAGATGGACGAATTTTTAATTTCCTATTTGCAATCAGGCTTAAGGTACTGCTAAAAATTTCAGTGCATCAAAATATATAACTACGTCACAAACAAAGAAGGTTAAAAGATGGAAGTTCTGTCACTGTTCAAGTAAATTTTTTAAAGTTGTAATGGTCATGCTATGCTAAATTATGACAAAAATTAGAGTTCTTATTTTTTCTTCATGATGCAGGTAAAAATTAATATAGCTAACTAATTAATTGTTTTATCGTTGGTTGTTCATGGATTAAAAATTTTCTTAAAACAGTTATATTTTTACATTAGAATACATTTAGTTCTTTAAGGTAAGAGGTACCTTAATTGTATTTGGCATATTTAAAACATGATTCATCATATTTGGTAGTAGCACTCACATTGTTTTAATAAATTTTTACGTTTTGTATTTGTTTATCACTATCAAAAAGTACTTTTGCAAAACTTGAAAAACTACAACATAGCCAGGGGCGGATCTAGGATTTTTCAAACATCAGTCACAAAACGTCGGAGGCGCTCCGCACCTTTGGGGGTCTGAGGCGTTCTCCCCTGAGAAATTTGAATTTCAGAGCCTTGAAAATGCCATTTTCAGCGTTTTAGAGGAATACAAGATGTACTTTGTGGGCATCGCTTTTGCGTAAAAACAACACATTCTGCTTACGTTTTTTTAAAAAACAAAATGAAGTGAACACTATCTGAATGTTTTGCCAAATATTTAGGCTCATTATTATGCCAAATATATGACTCACTAGCATGTCTAGGAACGTAAAATGTATTTTACAATGATGTTATTCAAAAACAGTAATAGTATTTAAAAATTTCTACCAAGTTGTCAGGCATAGACCCCCTAGAGACCCCCATTCAAACCTCTATGTAATGAGTTAATTTATAAATTTGGTACTACAAGTGACAGCTCATAGATGTAGAGAAGCTCAGACTTCAAACCATGCAAATTTATTGTAACCCTTTACCCATCTCCACATCAGTGCCAGCAAATTCACTTTTTGAGAAAAAAGTCAAAATTTTTTTCTGCCAAAGATTAAGCAAAAATTATCAGAGTGAAAATTTTCAGTTAAGGACAGCTTAATGCCATAAATGTTTATTAAGTATTTCACTAGACTATTATCTTCTGCAAGGTGTGCTATATAGCAATCACTAGTAGCATTGAATTTGCAAATACAAACAGAATGTAACCAACATGATTTTAATTAATATATTACATGAATGTTAAAATTGGTTCATGTGTCATGCTTACCGGTTATGATAAATATCGTTTCATATGATCAAAACTCCTTGAAATGTAAATCTGAAATAATTTAGTTTAGAAATTATAATGATCATCACAAAAATTACCTAGTGAGCATGAAAAATAGTTTGCTGTTTTGCAAAATTTCAAGGTTTATCTGTATACATAGGAAGACATTTTTACTTTATAGAAAATGCTTTTCATACATCAATAGCCCTTTGGAATTTATAACAAACAATCTGGTATGAGCCGTATATTAACACACCTTTACATCTCTACATGAGGTGTTCAGTTAGAAAAGGGGACAATATGTGACATGGGGCAACATTTCATATATGTGAACTACTCAGGTTTAATACCCTTCCAGTCAAATTGTCAAAATAAAAATCTTCATGGATCAGAAGACTCAAAATCACAGGTTATAGTAAACAGCTTCTCATTTAATCAATGTTAGTTTTCTCAAATCTTAAACAACAAGTAGTAGAACTGTCAAATGATTGAATGTTTAATGATCATAAACTGAAAAGCCCCAAACATTTGTTTATGATAAAGTAAATAATAGTATGGCGCCTTATGGCTACAGATTTATTGTCCATTGCAATATATTCGCAGGAATGTAGGATTTCGCTACCATATATCAGCCACGGTTCCCCAAGTACTAAGGAAATCAGAGCTTTAAGTTCTTTGGCTAGAACAATTTTACAAGCATCAATCTGCTTACCATACGCCATATGGACATAAATCATATCACACAATCGCATAAATTGACTTTAAAGTAAATGGTTTGAACCCGGGAGTATCGTTATATGTTTATAAATGATGATCGTCCAGGTTAATAAAGTCCTGAGAAGGACTGTTTTTGTTGTTGTTGACTGACGTTTCGACAACCATAGCCGTAGTCATCTTTAGAGTCAAAAAAAAAAATTAAAAAAAAATAAAATTTTTTTTTTATGACTCTGAAGATGACTACCGCTAAGGTTATCGAAACGTCAGTCAACAACAACAAAAACAGTCCTTCTCAGGACTTTATTAACCTGGACGATCATCATTTACAAACATATAAATTGACTTTGATATATTACATTCATGCATATACTTCACTTGTCCTTCACTTACGATTTTGGATGGAAATTTCTGCTTATAAAACTTAAAACAATGTTCGCATTCTTTTGAGCATCAATGACTGAAATGTCGCTTGCAAGATCGTCTTTCCAAGAATTTACAATTTATCCATAAATTTTTCACCCTCTTGAAAAAATTCACAGTTTGGACAGCAGCATTCGTGTTATTATATGAATTTGTAAAAGATTTCCATAAATTCCATCTGATTGTGGTTTAGTTTCTATTATGCTTATAAAAATTACTATGAAACGATGAAGCGTTCAATTCAGACAGTGAGCTTGAGTACGTTAGTTCAATTGGCTATCAGTCGAAATCGGTCAAACCAATCACAATAAAACAAAAATTCAAATGAACCAATTGTAAGATAGCAATTGGACTCCCTTATACGTCCGGCCACCCTGTTATCGGTCGAGACCAATGCAGACTGTCCACTGATCTGGCTATTGACCAATAAAATAAGTGTTTTTGGCGTTCATAGACTCCTTTATCAATCGAACCAGTAAAGCCACCACGCTTATTAGTCGGTTATTCCAGGTAAATTAAAATTCAACTGATCTGGTTACCAATGAGATATTCATTGGATTAGTCATTAGTTTTTAATAATAAATAAAGCTGCATTTTTATCACGAAGTAAATGCGATAATAAAGTAAGAATACTTAAATGAGATATGATCTTCGTACTTAGCTGGACAATTTAAGCAATCGTCTCAGGACCTGAAAAAATCAGGTGACTCAACGGGATGAGTTGGGTCACTTAAAAAATTGGGTGACTCATCCCGTTGAGTCACCTGATTTTCAGGTCCTGAGACGATTTAAATGTCCATAATACGAAGATCATCTCATTAATTCAAACACCGCACTGCATAAAACATTCATATAAAGTAAGAATACTTATGAATTTTTAATTAATATGAATAGGTAATTTTGAATTTCAAAATCAGTCGCAAGACGGATTTGACATACTCTAGATCCGCCTCTGGTTCTATATATTAAACAAATTCTTTTAGGCTGTTCGTTTTTTCTGTTGTTGCCATAGCATAATGGCCAAAGTGTGCAGAGGTGCATCTATGGCAGTTTTAGCACGTAACTTCCTCACTGTTTTCAATTATTACTTAGTAAAATCTTCGCGATGTTTTGCTTAAAACGAGAAAAGATTTGCTGTTACCTCCTGGGGCTGAAACGATAGCTCTGTCGTGCATAAACAGCTTTGGAGCTTTACTGAAAACTCTGTCCACGGTTAAGACTAATATACTCGATAGGTTAGCGTCCTTGGGTGTCAGTGATGAGGAGAGAAAAAGGGATTGGTCATCTTCATTATGCTTATCTTCAACACAGAAGGTCTTGTCTAGAATTTTTTCCTAAATACTTTCTATTCTGTGAAATGCTCCAATATGAATACCTACACGTTATGCCAGGCTTAAAGACACCAACACGACCTCCTGTAAGCAAGAGCTACACATGGAATAGGGGCAGAAGTTGCATCATTGGCTGGACAAGGCAGCCTTTATGTAATAACTCACAGAATATTGCTAGAAACAATTGTGATTGATGTGCCTGAGAGTTACTTGTACATTTTTGCCGTTAAAAGTGACTTAGACTTTATTTGGGCTATGTGACCATAGTTGATAATAAAGAAAGAGTTTATAAAGTATTTATAGTAATAGAAGGCTTTGAAATGTTAGAAACCTCTTTTTTCTTTGTGAATTTTCTTTGAAATTTTATTTACGATCCTTCAAATCAGGAAAGTGATGGAAATGATAGCTATGTTTCTGTTCAAAAACTAAGCAAAACAAGCACTTTAACTGAAGAAATAGACTTGACTCATAATCATTTTGATATAACTTTAGAGGTAGTGTAGGCTTACACATTTTTCAATCTTAGAAATGAACAATTTTTATTGTACTAACAAAGTATATTTTCGTCATTTTAAAGAAGAAAGAAGCAAAACCAATAACAGTAGTGAATAGCTTCTGCAACTCAACCAATGTTTCCTTCGACATCTAGAGAGCAACTACAGCAAGCACTTAACAACAACATTAATATTGAATTATTTGATGAACTGTTATCCAATGGCAATGTCGATGAAAGCAATTCTGCCACAGGTGACAGCACAGGTGTCCTTTGTACTTATGGTGATCTCAGTAGACATCGTTGTAGAAAAAATGTACAAATTAAATACTAATATAAATGGCTAAAGTAAATTTCTGCATTTTTGCTCTATTTTAGGTATGTTTAATGTTTGGGGATACTATTCTCTTCATTTGACAGGGGAAATGGTAATTCTCTCAGTGAAAAGTGACTCTTTTTGAAGGGATGCTTTTATATTTTACAAAGCACTAGTTCATGCCACTAGACCATTACGTATCGAATTTGAAGGAGCCTATGAAATGGATATCGATGGTGGAGGTCCAAGGAGAGAATTCTTCGAATTATTGGCTACCTATTTATCATCTGTGGCAGCTGGTTTCATTGAAGAAATACAGAATTTATTTTGCCAGTCATGAAGTTTCCTGTATTGAAGCATAGGCATTTTAAAATTGTTGGCACAATAACTGCAAACTCCATTATAAACGGGGATAGTGGTAAGTGCATACAATAATATATGTGATGACCGTTGAAGTTTCACTTTTGGGGAATTTTTTGTAATGTTTTGAAGAAGAAAAATTGCTGAGAGGTTGAGTTTTATTCAATTAATTAGATCACCCACTTGTTGCTGCTAGCTGTATCCAGGCATTTTTCAATTCTGTTTACTTTACTGCATTTGAACTTTAGAGTTTGCATGGGGTAGGGATGGAATAACCACATTGCACTGCACACTTCAATTTTGTGGTATTTATAAGAATCTTAATATATTTGCAGGTTTTCCTTGTCTTATAAATCTAATATACGAATATATAGTTTCTCAAAATGCAGAATTGTGTTTGTTATATTGCCAAGTGCACATGGTCACTGATGTAGAAGCTGTTTCTATCACTAGCAACACAGATGTGTGGTCTTTAAAATTACAACAAAACTCAGCAGTGTATTCAATCATGGGTTTTTTGATCAAATAAAAAGCTTACCACAACTTCAATAGTTAGTCTATAAAGATTTCTACGTTTATCTTTAGATGGGGTTAAAGGATTTACCAGTGTGGTCAGCTCATGGAGTGCATCTTATGGCCAAATGGAATCAGACCGTGACACTTAGACAAATGGAAGGGCTTGCCTGTTGCTCAACAAATCATCTACAGAAGTTGTGGGATAAGGAGTAGAGTACAAAGAAAGATGATTAATTTCTGAATAATGTCGATATGCGAACATGAGTTGACGTAGTGGCATTTCTTTTAGTAGATATGCTATTGGATTTATGGACTTTTACAAAGGAGTTTTGTTCATTCTTGACAAGTAAACATAATGAAGGCAAAATTCATCATTTGAGTTTGTAATTTCTAAAATGCTTTCAAACTGCAGCTCTCTGAATACTTGACCAAAAAATGCACTGACTTGGGTGTTAACATCACTTTTTATACGTTCAACATGCTGATTGCGAACGGGTGTCCCAGCAATAACACTCTGTGTTGCAAGATGTTCAATCATTTCTTGCCAGATTCTCATGATTTTTCCACCATGCTTAGTACGTACACGAATTGGTCCAGCATACCGATTGACACACAGTAAAAATAAAGGGGCCCTTTTAGCCCCCAAAATGAGGACAAAATTGAACAAATTTGATAACACTCCAACTAAACTTTTCTCAAAAGATGGACACTTCTCTGGGATAATTCGCAATAATGCCATGTCAAGAAAGCTATACACATTCATGCCTTCAATGTATTTTATATTGTACATATAGTACGTGGCCAACAAAGCAACCAGAGCATCGCCAATCTTTTTGGTCGTTACATGGTACAAAACTATTCGTTCTGCCACCACATATATAGTGTCACTTTGATAAAGGTCATCCACTACCAAAATACAAGGTTGAATTTGTGTTCTTATTCTTTCATCAAGGAAAGCGCCATTCTACGACAAAAAGACAGCAGAAAATTTAGAGAACTAGCTTGAGGCTGCACAAAAAAGTCTTATGTGTCTACTTTCATTAGGGTTCACAAGTCACTTTTGTTATGTGAGAAACAAAATGAAGTAGTATGGTAATACTCATTTTATAGTAAAGATATAGTGCCAGTTTTACCTTAACAACTTTGATAACACCTTCTTTAACAAGAGGCGTCCTCCTGCTGTTTGGCTGCTTGAAGACAATTTGAGCGATTTTGATAGCTGCCCTACCAGCACATTCGCCTAAAAAATAGCACACACTGCTACACAAAAGTTGATCGAGAAACAACTGCTGATCCTTCTTAGTTTTATTTCCTTCAAGAGAATTTCTGATGTGTATGAAGTTGATTGTCAGCTGAAATACCTTCTTCAAGGATACCACTGTCAATAGCATTGTGCATTCTTTTTAAGTCTTCTGACTGTTAACCACCGTTTTTCTCAGCATATGCCAACAGCCTGTGACGCCACACTTTGTTGAAGTTTTCCTTTACCTGTGTAGCTACGTCTTTATTCCCCATAACTTTTGCAAATTCAGCCTTGATCTGTAGTAATACAATATACAGCAGTTACCTATAAGCTTTGCTAAACTTATGTACGTATTTTATGGGATGAAAATACTACTAGGTACTAACGTATAGCAGATTTTTTAAAGAAGGGAACATTGCAACAACTTCCACTATTCTTCTGACGTCTTCCAAGACAAGTGATCTCTTTGAAGCATAGCATGCAGCCATCAACTCCTGAATTTTTTCATAATCCTTTTTAGCTAAATGCCACTCCTTTTTTATTTTTGATACCACTGCTAAAAGATCTTCTCTTTCGCACGGCTCGAGAACGTTCGTCCAAAAGTGACTGTTCCTTTTTTGTTGTTTTGCCTTTAGTTTGCGAGACATTGGTAACAGGCGTGTTACATCTCTTTCTTTGCAAGTTTTTGAATCGGTAATAGATTTTCATCTCAATAGATCCCTATAAAAGAAAGCTTTCATTTAAAAGTAGTAAAAGACAAGTAAATTTATTTTTTATCATTTACAAAATAGAGACGCAAGCAGCCCATTACAACTAAAACGCAAATAACAAGGTGATAATGTAAACTTGCATCACATAGTTTGGATTAGGGGGTGGGATGGGAAGATGCATCCATTTCTCTTCAAAATACTAAAGCCTAGTTAACATATATTTGTATATAATTGTGGCAATTCTATCGGCGTTGAAGGTTCATATCAAATATAAGTGTATGAGAACGCGCGTTGTAATTGTGGTAAGTAATTTAATCGCAAAAAATCTGGAGTTCAGTCAAATCAAAAGCAATTGTGTTTAGAGATAAATGGAGGATGCCACTATAATTGGTAAAATCTACGAACGTAATAAATATGTAACAGAATTTAACAAAAAATGTCTGACATCCTTTGGCAACAAATACGTACTCACAGAAATCACATCCACTCTGGACAAGTTGTAACCTAAACCACACCCATGCTATTCCCAAACACACTCCAGCCAAAAAAATTGTGAATACACATCCCTGATTTAGATTTTTGTGTTAATTAGTTAGTCACACAGTTATTGATTTTAGCAGGCATGATTATAAGAAATTGAGGTGTGACGTCATTAAATGTATTTGTCATGACTGTTGGCAAAAAGAACGTGTGGTTTCTTTAAAAGAGATTTATCGAGGAAAATTAAAACTTTGTAACTGCCCAAAATATTTTCTGAAGTACAAAGTTTTAACTTGTCTGGCAAAATCGCTTTTGAGAAATCATACATTCTTATTATTGCTAACAGTAAAATACAATTAATGTCATCACACATGTCAGCTTTAAAAAATTCCTAATGCTTACAAGGAGCTAACATTCATGTGATTAAAATTCATTATTATTTGACAAATATGTATAATGAAACAAAACAAAATGTCATATTATAAACACTTTTAAGTATTATTTACCCATGGCTTTGAGTTTGCATCCAATAGTGGATCTTTCATGAATGGATATGATTCAACAATCATAAGTGCAATCTTTACATGTTCTGTTTTGCTGGGATGAGCTCGTTAATCAGATTTGGGGGTAAATACTCTGTTTTCAGCCCAGCTTTAACAGCATAAGAATACTAAAAGACAAAAACACTTGTTGTGACCTGTCTTCCTCCTTCCCAAAAAAACTAGAGGCTAGTTTAGGGGCAAGATAATGTCAGAAATTTAGGAATACAATTGTGGTTTCGAAATTTGTAAAATGGCTAAAGACATGGCTGTTGAGAGACCAACTCTTAAACAAAAGCTGATCATTCATCAGCTCACCTCTAAAAGGACTTAAACCTTAATAACTTTGTAAGCCTTTAACTTTAACCACCCACTTAAGCATAATATTCGTACTATTCTATGTAATAAACGAGCTGCTGTTAATGTATTGTACTTACACGATTTGGAATTTTGTAGTTCTGTAACCAATCCTTAAACAAGTAAAATAGTACTAAATTGCAAATTAGATTTGTTAGAAGTACTTCAATTTCCATTTTTTGAACAAATGAAAAAAAACTTGCATACTTTTGGGTACTGGTATTTGCATTAAGAGCATTTGGACACTAAAAATTACAAATTAACTATTAATGAAGGTTCACAGCATGTTTAAATAGGAAAGAGCTTAGTAGAGGGGTGTGAAGGAGCAGGACTTATGGTGATGCTGTTACTATTATCACTACAAAAAAATACAAATAAAACCAACAATAGAAATCTCGTAATATTAATAAAGAGGTAAGAACATTTCAACAAATGTCTGACATAATATGTATAGCAACAAGTTATCAAAGCCTAATCTAAACTAGAGGACCCTCCACCCCCAATACAGAACCATTGTGGATCATGACTATATGTATTATTATATGTAACCATGACTATATGCAATATTTTATGTAACCATGAGAAAATGTATTATTACTAAAATGATCAGAAACAGAAGTGCATCAACCTGAATTGGTGTTAGAGGTAAGCTATCACTCTAAAGAAGAAAAATTAAACCAGCATATCCTTATGCTGCAAATTTTAATGAATGCACATGGTGCACACAATTTAACAATGATTTGGGTTTGTAAAAAAATTGTTTATCTTAAATCACTTCCTCATTAGCAACTTTTTACACTTAAGTTTTTTGTTACTATGCATCAAGAAATAGCAATGTACATGAATGTAAATAAGGAAAAAACAAACCTCGTGCATTACTGCACTGTCAATTTTGATATAACTGTCAGGAACCTTTTTCACGGGACAAATATCAACCTAGGAAAAATTACGTGTTGATTTCATAAATGGCTATAACATGTTTTGGTATACGATGAGCAATAAATTTTTACTATATTCCAAGTCTCCTTTCCCACTGCATTCATTGCCATCGAAAGAAAATGTTATACTTCTATCCTCATCGGTTTCAGATGTTTCAGAAGAGCTTATAACCTCGTGCTTTTTTTTTCAATTCTGGAGAGTCTGATATAATGACTTCAAGCAATTCTTGGGAAGTAGTACATGAGGCAGAAGTAGATGAAGCAGAGCTTTTTTTCTTTTGGGGCATGGGATTTCTATTGGAATCCAACACCTTAAAAATAAGCATGACAAGTTTAAACAGTTCTAAAAAACACCAAACGTTTGCTGCTATAAACATAACATCCTGAAAAGTTTTTTGAAAGAGTTTGATATATTAAGTGCTCACGTACGTACCATGCCAGAAAGTTTCGACCAAACTGCAACAGCAGCACGCTTTTGTCTAAGATTCTTAAACATGTCACTAAACTCTTCTCTAGTCAATGTTGGAAAGAGTTCTCCATCAATCTCTGCAGCTGAGAAGGTACGTATATTTGTTATCGTAATTTGATTTTGCAAAGCCTAGTTGCAAGTTTGTAGCGAAAAACCCACTTTCATTATCAAACAATCTTACGAAGCTCTTGCTTCAAGCTTGAGTGTTTTAACATACAGTAAGTTTGCTATTATTATAGCCGATTTTTTTCAAAGCTTTTCCGAATGAGTAAGGTACTCAGATGTGTCATATAAACGATTGACCGGGAAATGCATTCATTTTATATAAGGGCCGAGTTACCCGGCTCGGCGAGTAACTCGCTCAGCCTGGTAACTCGGCTCCATATAAACAGGCCCTAACAAGTCAACACATCATTGCTCATCCTTTCTATTAAAATATTACGTTTGTAATCACGTGAAAGCGCATGCGACCTTTGCCCGACCCATTGAGTTCTATAATAACTGGAGCGGCTATCTCAAGCGCGGCCTTAGATATCTGATGACGCCAAAAAAATGGCGGATTTCGTCCGTTGCCGCTGAGATTTACCGAAATTGACCGCTTTTCCGAAAATTTCACAATTTCCCACTCCCTCCTG